TTTACTCTCTGGGCTGCCTAATGCATAGGAGCATGGTGAAAGAAGAGACTTAGTGTTTTAGTTCAATTTCCTCCGCTTGCATATTTTGTGAACTTGGGCAACTGATTTATGTGGGATTCAACTTCAATCTTTAAAAAGTGATAATTAAGCTTAAGTATATTTAAATTTCCTTTTAGCTCAAAATTTTTGTCATACAATGATTAAGAAGTCTTGACATGTGTTCATATTTCTGAATTTCCTTAGTGTTTCCTTTGCTATTATTATTCTCTTATATTAAAAACTCAAAGGAAGAAACTGTGTCTGTTAAACTCATTTGCCATAGGATAGCACCTAGGGACTTAGAAAATGCTTTAAGTTATTAAGATAGACAGGCTGGTAACACAATAATTTGCAGTGACTCCAATGGGTGTCACAAACAGAAAGAAGGGAACTTTAAAAAAACTCTTTATAGAAACAAGCCTTGGAAATAATATAAGTCAAGACAGTCTTACAATACCAATAAAAGACACACGTTTATGACCAGACACTGATTGAACTCTGAATGCCATGAAAATAAAGCTTTGGCTGAGCTCAAAATGTCTCTCTATTACTATCAGGAGTGACACAGTGAAATACCCTGAAAAGAATAAATTCTTCTGCATTATTAGCAGTGTGCTTTAGAGAAATTAACTGTACTGGGAATTTTCCTCCAGAGGGATTTTATGACATAATATAATTTACATTCAAATGAAAATGCTAAAGTAGGAGGTATACTAAAATTGAAGCTTTTAAAGGAGACTCAGAATCGTAAGCCTATGGATTTGGATCAGCTGCCACAGACCTAGTCATCTCCCACAGATATTCTCTTGGTTGTTAGAAAAGCTTAAACACATTTCACTTTTTAAAAGAAACATCATCTTTGCTTCTGCATTTTAATGTACTGTGTTTTCTAGATAAACGCAAAAATTTCTAAAGAATCTTGATTATCTGGAAATCACATACATTTCATTCATCATCCCAATTCAAATGCTCTAGAAAACCTTGTAGATTGAAGGACTCATGGTAAAATATTTAACATAAAAGCCCGCCTAAGGAAAAACACCACATGGTGACCACTTTACAAAGCAAGTCTCCTGCCTCATGGTTGAAAGTCAGACTAAATAGGACAACAAATGTTGAACTCATTCCTTTTATAAATATTAGTTAGGCAGCTAATATATCTGTCAAGCTGTGGTCGTTAAACAGAACAATGGGTTGCTAAATTATCAAAATAAGAGAAGGGACCAAAATTATAGTCTGATGTCACACTGAGCAAAAGAAATTATTAACAATAACAATCCAAAGGCCACTTATTCTCTAGTCAATAACAAGGCCTGCTGCCCACATGCACAACTGGCATGGGAGGAGAATTCTCTTTCCACCACATTCATTCATTTACACACACACACACACACTTCAAGCAAAGGAAAAAACAAAGGAGGAAAAGAGCTTTGGCATCCTAACTGCCATTTTCCCTTTGTGTGCAGAGTTGTCATGGTACTTCAAAGCGTGGAACCTCTGAGTCTAAATGAGATGTGTCCTGACCAGGAGTCCTACTCCAGGTCCAAATACAGAGAAGAAAGGAACAGCTTTCACTTTCCCTGTTTGACCAGATAGATGCTATGACTGCCAAGTAAGGCATTGCCTCTGTAAGTTCAGCCAGAGAAAAAACATTCAACCAATTACCTTGTCCACATGAGGAAGAAACAGTGCTGCCATGAGTCACAAGCTGTTATTAGGAATTCTTTACAAGACCAATATTTAGCAAAATCTGTAGTCAAAATTAAGCTGTGGCCACAAATGCCCCAATCATCCTGTTCCTTTAGCCTTCCACCTCATTCTGAAAGGCAAGTTCATTCTTATTCTCTTGGATTAATCCCTAGAAGGTCTTAGTTTGCACATGTCATCCTCATGAAGGATGACTGAAGTCCTTTGCATTTCCAGGAATGTTTTAAGGTGCTAAAAACTGATTGTTGGATGGCTGCCATCAGTACTCAAGAGTCATGATTTTCTTTTCTTTTCTTTTTTAGCCCCACTTAAGCTGTGTGCTGACTTCACCAGTCATGAGCACCCTAGATAAGAAGCACCTTGCCTAGTAAAGTCTTATTTTAACACCCCCTCCTCTTCTGATCACTATGCCTAGGATCATCTTTGGGGCCACTGCATGATTAGCCCCCCACAGAAAGCAGAGTTGTGTCTTTTGCCACTTAGAAGCAGAAGAAGAACTTTTCTGAAAATCACTCCAGAGGGAAAACAACTCCTCTCCTTTTTAAAAGCACTGATACATCCTGCATAAAGTTTTAAAAATAGTTACATGCAATGATCCAGGGTATATTTGGATACTTAAATATTTTCTTTCAATGGTAAAGGTGTTTCTTTTTCAATAGGTATCTTAGAACAAGCCCTACTTTCCCATTCTCCTCATTCTCTTCTCTCCTTCTCTGCCAGGCATCAAGGTCCACCAAGCATGTTAAGTACCTTTGAGAGTGCCACATGATGGGACAGCACTGGTTGCTGCTTCCTAGTATTGAATTTTTTTTTCCCACATGGTTGAACTCAAGGGAGGAAGGAGACATAACTAAATTAAATTCTTCTATGGATTAGGTTTTCTCTATGTGATCTTTGTTAATCCTCATAACAACCCTCAGAAATTTAGAGTTTACATGATCTTTTTCTAAGGACCTAGAGAAAGAAAATTAGAAGACAGGATTCAACTTCAAGTTTATCTTGCTCCAAAGTCTATACTCTTCACATTGCTATACTGCCTCTCCAAGTCTTTAACTTATTAGAAATCATCAGGATCATTGACTCACTACCAAATTCAGTACCATCAGTGATTCAGTAAAACACTCACATAGCACATATATAAACTTTAAAAATCATAAGATTTTTTTTAACATGACATATGTAGACCCAAAATTAATTCTGAATAAGAAAAAAAGTGAAAACATAAATGCCATGAAACTTGCAAAAGATGAAATGGAGTGGTATGTTTTTTTTTTAAAAAAAAAGAAAAGTAGATAATATCTTTATTAACTTAATCTTAATTTGAAGATTAAATTTTTTTCAGGAAAATTTGACAATTTTATTTTTTGCACCAGGTATTAAACAAAGGAGTGCTTTATCTCGGAGCCACATCCTCAGCACTCCATATTTTTTATTTTGAGACAAAGTCTCACTAATTGCAATCCTTCTGCATCAGCCTCCAGAGTCACTGGGATTACAGGTGTATTTCATCACTCCCAGCAAATTTCATGATACCTAAACAATTGAAATTAAAGGCATTGTCATAACTATAATTAATTGGTGATCATAATCTAACAATAGAAAAAATTTCCCCTCGACTAAGATAGTTAAAATAAAAACAAACAGAAGGGGGACCCATGAAATTGAAATTACACAAGTTTTTCAAACATACTTGATAAGGTTTCTTGTAAGAGATGGTACATAAAAAAATATAAATCCCCAGGTTAGTGGTATTTACCTGTAATGTAGTATTAACAAGTTTTTTTCTTTTTCTTTTTCTTTTTTAAAAAAATTAAGGTCTATGACCTGAATTCAGGTCTCCATCATAGTATAGTCAACGATGGTAATGTTGATATTTAAATCAGCATAATTAATAGTGATATTATTTTAATGTCACTGGTTGAGTAGTGATAAAACTATTTTAATTAGTAAATCCATTCTAGTCTCTGCAAAGAATACAGAAATGATTTTACAAAAGAAAGCAATAAAGACTTTTTTTTAAAGTTAAAGAAAGAGTAATATTGAATTGAACTTAACTATAAAGCATTCTTTGCAAAAAAAAAAAAAACAGCTCTTATTTTAAAGGTGCAATGTATTCTGGTGGGAATATTTTAAAACTCTTATGTGTGGTATAGATCAATAATTTTCTTTCAAGTTGCATTCAATAGCAAATGGGATACTTTAGCTCAGAGAACTTACAAATAGTAGACCAATGGATGATAATTACACATTGACAGCATAATGAACAATCTCAGCATTGAGTAGAGGTTGGCTACCAATTTTAAAGAAAGTTCTATAGAATCTGAAAATAAAGCATTGTTAATTCTCCTCTATTTGCCATACTTTTTTTTTTTTTTTTTTAAAGCTTTAGCTTCTACACAGCTAAATGCCTGGTTAGAGGCAAAATATAATTTACATTAAAAAGGCCACAGCAAGGATCGCCTTTTTTTTTTTTTTCATGGAAAGGTAGAAAGAGATAATAGTCAGAATCATATTAGCTCTTCATTTTTCTTGCAGATCAAGAATAAAAGAATGAAGAAAATTTTTAGAAAATTAAAGAGGAGAAAATTTGTGATGTAACTAGGAAGGCTTCTCCCTCAACATTTACAGTATCTTTAGTCTACGGGATTCACATTTTCAAGAAGTTATCAATATAAACAACTTATTTTGTCAGTCTTCAAATAGATACATATTTTTAGCCAATCTGTGGTTATATTAAGCAAAATACACTAAAATGTATCAAATGACATGTCCTAACTTCTGAACTGGTATCTACATAGGGGTAGAAAGTCATACTTAAAACATGGTGTCTGGAAGCTTGATGTTGAAATGACAAATGTTGGCCAGGCATTTATCATATACTGGAAAGTACCATTCATATGTGTATTGCACTGGGGTAGGAAGAAATGCCTATTTAAGTTGCTGATACCTGTTTTCAAATGCAAATTCCCCTTCCATTTCTCATTATCTCAGCCTTACAAGATAATTTAAAAGAATGGCAATCTTTTTTTCATGTTAAATAAAGGTGCTCACTTAAAACTAGAAGTACCATGAAGAACTATGGAAAATGGCTTTTTGGTTTATATGATAGAACTGTTACTATTATCTTCTCACTCAAGGACTTCAACAAACCAAACACAGCTCACTCTGTTTTATTCTCCTTAAGTTCTAGAATCCTTGTTACAGTTAGAGATTGCCTGGTATGTTCTTTATGTCATCACAACTCATCATTTAAATATATTTCCACAGTGACCAACAATCTAATGGAAGATCAGTGGTCCACCATGCAAGAAGACTCTCTGGAAAGGAGCACAGGGAATTCAAGAGATATTGCAGGCTAGATGGCCGAATATACAGGAACAGGTGAATTAAACTTAAGTTCCCTAGAAAATAAGGAGTGGGGGAGGACATTTCCTTTAAAGACATTCATAGGTGACCATGGTAAGAACAAATAAAAGAGCCATTATTGACACAAGTTAAAAACATCTAGCTACTCAAAAGGTATAACTGGATCCATATTTAAATCTCAAGCATAGAATTTAAATCCTAACATCATGGATGAAGAATATTGATCAATTAATTTAAAGAACTACTCGGAACATTCCTTAAAATTCCAACAGGTATTAGTGGAACCATTCTATGTACAATATTAACTGATTGCTTCAAGGAAACAAAAAGTAATCTGAAACACAGATTCTGAATTGAAATCAAAAGATAAGATATGGTTCCTATATTTTGTTACTGCTGTTTATTTAGTAGTTTTTATTGTGGCAAAATGTCTGTAACATAAAACCTACCTTTTCAAGTCCTCTTAAGTGTGCAATCCAATGGCACTAAGTGCATCTACAATGTTCTTTGGCTGCCAGTACAATGTATTTCCAGAACCTTCCAGTCATTCCAAAACCTGGTTGATGGTTTTTAGTTAAATTTTTCATTTAGTCCTTCATTATCTACAGAAACCTTTCAATTGTTGATTCAACCAAGGTCTATCAGATATTTTAGGGGCTTTATTACTTTAAAGGCATGTCAGAAGAGGTCTTTTGTTCTCTGCTCAGGGTTGCACCTTGATCCACTACCACAACATTCCAATTACCAGTCAGAAAGACATGAGCAATGTTCTCTTGGTAAGTCTCTGGAATGCTTCTTTAATTCTTAATCAAGAATTAATTCTTAGTTCTTCCCTGAATTAACTTGGTCCTTTTGAGGTGACACAATCACCAAAAATCAGAATCTTAACAAGGCTTCCCTATGGTGATGGAACTATTTTGTATCTTAACTGTATCAATAGCAATATCCTGGTTATGATATTGTTCAAACTGGGCAAAGAGAACACAGAATCTTGCTCTATTATTTCTTAGATTATCTCACCATTTAAAAATTTAAATTAAAAGGAAACAAATTGGAGATTTAGTGTACAGCCCCGTTGGCTTTTTCTATTTTTAATCATCTCTTTGATTCTTCCAAATACTTAAAGTATGATGCCTGAAAGTTTAATGGTCTACATTTATCATGGTCTATAGACTGGAATATATAAAGTACATTTATGTAACTATTTACCAAGTCTTAATCTTCTAAAATTTTAACTCAGGGTAATTTTACTGAGGTCTGAATTAGAAATTACTTATAAAAACCCAAATATTCCCGTTGCTTATGGATCCAAAAATTCTGATATGTCTAAGAACATCTGTCTGAATACAAGGCCTAGAGAACTAAAATATAAATACATTTGTGAAGACATTAAAATTTTAGGCTTAAGTATTTTTAAAATAGACCAATGACAAAAAAAACTTTTTAAAATAATGTGTCATTGTACACATGATAACAATGCCAATATGCAATTAATTACCTTAAATTAGTTTTTACTTATTGAATTTTTTTTGAATCTTCTCTTCCCTACATGTGCAATTAACTACAAAAATAGAGGTATATCTTGTTGTCCGTTGTGCATTAGTTTCAGGACCTTCCATAGATTTAAAAATTTATGAATAATCATGTTCTTTATGAAAAATTGTATAATATTTTCACAGAACCCAGGCACATCCTTACCAAGAACTTCCTCATCCCTATGTAACCTATAATGTATAATACAATGTAAACACTATGTAAATAGTTCTTTTATTGTATTGTTTAGGAAATAGTGACAAGGAAAAATCTGTATATATTCAGTACAGACAAAAATACTTTAAAATATATTTTCCATGTGTGGTTGGTTGAATTCACAGGCATGGAACTCACGTATACGAGTACTGACTGTACTCATTTTGATGTGTTGGAAAGCATATGCATACCAGGCAGCAATTTTTACATTAGACAAAAGTTCAAAGCTTATGACAAAAGTTCTAATTTTATGATCTTCAACAATTAGGCTCTGCTTTGGTCTCAGATACTGAAAATAACAAGGATGTTAACACTGGTTAAAGCATTAGAAAGCCTTTATTTAGTGTACTGGACTTTGTAGAAGGAGATTTTTCAACTCTCCTCTTAATTAATTAGTAATTAATAGGACTGTAGTGTTTTACATATGTTCACAGTAATGGCCTCTCAAATTGTATTGTCATAATAAGTCTTTCTAACAAGATACATGCATTAACAATAAAAATAATATTGATGATGATTTCTATTAGTAACATTTGTTAAGCTCTTGAAATATGCCAAGAAATGCATAAAATGACATATACATGTTTTCAACTTGTCCTCTTGAATCTCTATGGTATGGTAGTTTCCAAATGCTATCTCTGTTTAGATGGATGGAATGAGCATATCCATTGGAATACCTGTTCTGTTCTAGTCCAGATGGGTTACCTCAGCCTTGAGAGGCAACTCACTGATACACAGTCTTGATTAACATCCCAAGATGGAACAGCATGGAGACCAAGACCTTCCTTTGCTTTACTGCGTATTCAATGTCAGTCCTTTACTAACATCTAATTCACCCTCCTTCAAAAAGCCTAACCTCTAGTTATCTCATTTACTCATCATCAGAGGTAGAGCCACATATAATAATACTACCTAGCATTTGCAGAATCCTATTTCACAGAAGAAACATGCTCCAAGAATAGTGTCAAAGGTCATGCCACAGAAAAGTGATTTAAACACAGCCTGAGTGGAGTCCTGTGCATGGCAGAACCGAAGTGCTTCTTGTTGAAAAGAGTCATAAAGAGTTATCTGTGTTCAGATTTTACTTAAGGGGAATATTTACCACAGAGTTAAATCAATAGTACTGTTCTATGTGGACTGTTTACCTTTACAGATTCTGTTTACAAAAAAATAAAAGAAGGCAGTGTTTTGTGATGGATCCTGTAAACTTAAGAAATACATCCATTAGTTTATTTCTAACTCCGTTCTTACTGCTTGCTTTTATGTATATGTTCTTCTAATTATTACAGTAAAAATAATTGTCAGAAGTTTAAATGAAAATGCCAATTTATGTTTACAAAAAATCTGATTGAGAATTAAATATTCTGAAGATAAAGCACATTGCAGCAAAGTTACCATTAGTTCTTTTCTCTTGCAATTCACTAAATTTGAATAAGTTTATTTGCATATAACAGTAAATTTTATCAAAGAATTTAATGCAAGAACAATATATTTTCTTGGCTAATTATTACAAAAATAGGATATAGTATGAATGTATACTGAACATGTAAATTTTAAAATCTCAATGATATGTAACAATACATGATAGATTAAAAAGAATAACTGGCTGGATTATAAAATCTTTTTGTGAATTATGTTAAATTATGAGTTATGCAAATCTGTAACAACACATGGCTATAATTATATGATAAGAATATTTTTTTAGGTTTCTTAAAAAGCTTTTGGTTCAAAATTGCAAGATATTTCAAATTAGGCTTTAAAAAATGGTTAATTATGCAGCTTGAGAGAGAAAAGTAACAACTTTAATAAAATAACCTAGCACCTCCTAGTCTAGATTTTTTTCTCTAAGTAAATTTCTTTCCAAGCACGCACTTTAATTTTTCCAACATAAATGCATGTCTGTAAATCCTCTCCTTCATATTGCTCTTCATACACCTGATTCATTTAAAAAATTATATCCTTAATTGTTTATGTTCCAAAAACTATTTAATCCAAATATTTAATACTAGTCTTCCATGTAAAGAAATAAATCCCATTTTCCTTTAAAAATAAACTTATTTCTCCAAGTTGATTCTTTTTGATAATCCCTCTTTTTATAAGCCAAAGACATCCTTTTATTGCTAAAGGCACTATTTGTATTATCTTAGTTCCTTTTATCTATGTGCTCTATAAGTACATTTTATAATTTTACAAACTGAACAAATAAACCATAGAAATCTAATTTTCATGATATACACTCAACCTCAAATTATCCTTCAAATATTTGAGAATTGAATTATACAGTGTTTATTTCATTCTTTCATTATTAGATGCAAAATATGTGCATTGAGCAGTTATAATGTAGTAGAAACTTGCAGTTTACTATAATAATGTCTCAGAGAACCACAGAATTATAACCTAAGGAGCATTTTGTCCATTTCCTCTTTTAAATGTTGAGAAAGCTACAGCAAGAATGTTGACTTGCCCAACAACAGAAAGTAAAAAATAGAAATATAAAAATGCTCTGACTATAATATGACTCTAGGCATATTTCTTTAATATTCCTAAAAAAGTGAGTTTCAACATATTCTAACCCTTCTTTGCACTTATTTCTCTGTTTTTCCTCACCTCAAAACTATTGTTTAAAGAAAATGTCTGTATAACATACAACCTTGCAAAAATGCAATTCCATTACTACAATTTCAACAGAATCAAGTAGAATACACACATTCCTTTCAAAGGACACCATTAATCTCTGAGTACCAACATGTATAATTCATCAAAATACTCTAAATGCCCTTTAAGTCACCCAAAACTTTATAAATGTTATAAATAACATTAAACCCATTTCAAGTTTTACTGCAAAATACAGAGTTAAGTTGGGAACATTTTTTTTAACTAAAATAGTTTAATACCTTACTTTTGAGGGTTACAGTCATTTTCTATTTGAAAAATCTGTATTTATGCAATCACAAATGCAATTAACTAATTACTATAATTTCTCATTTGCATCTATTGTTTTATATTCAAAATAAATGATTTAATAAAAATATTCTCTTTTACTTGTGGCAATAGCTCTTTTCTATCTATTAGGGACAGTCTCAAGAAATTCTTAACATGCATAGCTGTTAAATTCTTTTGATGTGGCTACCCTTGATTGAGATGTGCTATGTGCAAAATATATGTGGATTTTCAAGATTTAGTATAAAAATAGAATATAAATTATCTCAATTATTTTTATATTGGTTACATACTAAAGTCATATTTTTGTACATATTGAGTTAAATAAAATATATTGTTAAAATGAAATATATTATTAAATATAAATACATTACATTTAATGTAGCCACTAGAAAATTTAAAGTTATATATATGGCTTACACACTGTTTCTTTTAGACAGCTCAGAGAATCTTTAAGTACTTATATTTATTATCATTCAAACAACATTGATTTAATTACTTGGTGTTATTTTGTAAAAATCTCTCCTTTAGGTGAAAGACCTCTACAATGAAAACTATAGAACATTTAAGAAATTGAAGACCTAAGAAAATGGAAAGACCTTCCATCTGTTCTTAGATAGGCAGATTTAATACTGTATAAATGACCACATTACCAAAAGAACCATAAAGATTGGATAAAATTCTCATCAAAATATCACTGACATTATTCATAGAACTAGTGAAAATAAACCTAAAATTCACCTGGAGTAATAAAAGACCCAGAATTGCTAAAGCAATACTGGGCAGGAAGAGTGATACTGGAGGCATGACAAAATCTGATGTCAAATTATAACACAGAGATATCCTAACAAAAACAGCATGGTATTGGCACCAAAATAGACAGGAAGATCAGTGGAATAGAACAGAAGACACAGAAAAACCCACATACTTACAGTCATCTGATACTTGACAAAGGAGCCAAAAAAAAAGTATATTGAAGAAAAGAGAGCCTTTTAAATAAATGGTACTGGAAAAACTAAGTATCCATATGTAAAAGAATCAAACTTGAATCCCCTTCATTTTGCATCAAATATTTGAGAATTAAATCAGTAACTCTGCAACTGCTAGAATAAAACAAAGGGTCAACACTTCAACATATTGGTGCTGGCACCGACTTTCTTAACAAGACCCCCTAGGGCTCAAAAAAATAAACCAAAATTAATAAGTGGAATAGCATCAAATTAAAAAGCTTCTTCACAACAAAGGAAACCATTAAGAGTATGCAGAAAGCCTACAGAATGGGAGAAAATCTTTGCCAGCGACTCCTGAATAAAAACCAGAATATATAAGGAACTCAAAAAGCTTAATACCAACCAAACAAAAAATTATCCTTCAAATATTTGAGAATTGAGTTATACAGTGTTTATTTCATTCTTTCATTATTAGATGCAAAATATATGCATTGAGCAGTTATAATGTAGTAGAAACTTGCAGTTTACTATAATAATATCTCAGAGAACCACAGAATTATAACCTAAGGAGCATTTTGTCCATTTCCTCTTTTTAATGTTGAGAAAGCTAGAGCAAGAATGTTGACTTGCCCAACAATAGAAAGTAAAAAATAGAAAAATAAAAATGCTCTGACTATCATATGACAAACAAAAAACCAAATAGTCTAATCAATAAATGGCCAAAAGAACTGAACAGACATTTCTCAAAAGAAGAAACACAAATGGCCAATAAATATATGAAAAAAATGTACAACATCTCTAGCAATTTGGGAAATGCACATCAAAATTACATTGATTTCATTTCATTCTAGTCAGAATGGCAATTATCAAGAATACAAATAATAAATGCTGTCAAGAATGCAGAGGAAAAGATACACTTACACATTTTAGGCAGGAATGCAAATTAGTACAACCACTCTGGAAAGTAGTACAAAGATCACTCAAAAACCTATAAATGAAACCACCACATAACTCAGCTATCCTACTCCCTAGTAATAATACAAAAGAACTAAAATCAGCACACTATGGTGACACAGTCACATTGAGTTTAGAGCAGTTGCAATTCACAATAGCCAAGTTATGGAACCAGCCCAGGTTTCCATCAATAGAAGAATGGATTAAAAAGAAAATTGTGGTAGATATACAAAGTGGAGTTTTACTTGGACGTAATAAAGAATAAAATTAAAGCATTTTCCAGTCAATAAATGGAACTAGAGAACATCATGCTAAGTGAAATAAGCCAGACTCAGAAAACTAAGGGTTGAATTTTTTGTCTTCTATGTGGAAGATAGAGAAAAGTAAGGGGGAAGCGGGGGATGGGGACGATACCAAAAGATAGAAGGAAGATAAGTGGACTAGAAGACAGTGGGAAGGAGGAAGGACAAGAAAGAAAATAGGGAATGAATTTGACAAAAATTATACTATGAGCATGTATAAATATAGTATGTTAGATTCTACCTTCATATATATCTATAAAGCACCAGTTAAAAATATTTAAATAAATGAGTCGAAGTAAGACCAGTAAAGCAGAGGAAGGAAAATGAGAGAAATGAGGAAGGGAGGGAAAGGGAGCCCAGCTATAATGTCCAACTACAATGTACGTATAAAAGCATAAACAAATCTATCCTTTGGCTCCATATTACCCTCCAAGTATTTTCCCATTTCTCTATTCATTTTTTTTTTCAAAAATCCTTTAAAAAGCTGACTGTACTTGCCTCCACTTTGGTGTTCACCATTTCAGTGAAACAGCAGTCCTGGGGGTGACCAATAATCTCTCAGCTGTCACATGCCATTGCCACTGCTCAGCCTGCCTCTTACACTCTTCAACTTTCCTTTCTTCTTGAAACCCTTTCTTGTTTGACTGCCGAGATGCCATTCTCTTCTGGTTTTCTTGTGCCAGTTCCTTCACTTTCCCACCCCGTCTCTGACAAGCCCACCCATACTTTCTCCCTAAGTATTCTCATTTAGCCTGGTGATTTAAAACACCTGTCAGGGCTGAGGTTGTGGCTCAGTGGTAGAGTGCTTGCCCGCCTAGCACGTAAGAGTCACTGGCTGCAATTCTCAGCACTGCATATAAATGAATAAAAATAAAGTTTCATTGACAACTAAAAAATAGTTTTAAAAACATGTCTATGCTGAAACACCCTAATTTATTTCTCAATATGGACCTTTCTCTAAGCTCCATTCTTTTATAAATATGTGCCAAAAAACCTTTTTTGCCTAGATGTATGATATTTCTCTCTGACTTAACATATTACAGTATCAAACTGACTCCCTTTTCCCAGCCCAGATTCCTCAGTATTCCTCAGGATATAGTTCAGAGAAGAATGTGGCTGGTTTTCAACGAGACTTCAGTAACCTCTTACCGCAGTGTGGCAAGCATCTCTTAATAAAGCAATATTAGAATCTGTCCAGTGAAAATGTTTGCTACAGTCTTTCTTGTGTTACAGAGACAAAACTCTTAGAATGTTCTCTTCTTCTCTTTCTCATTTCCTCACACAAAATCCAGTATTAAATCCTTTTAGGGCTTTCTTCCAATATGTCTAGAACTGCCTTCCCCCCCACATAGTCCATGTCAGCCACAGAAGGTCCCATGCTGTTGCTGCAAAGGCCCAAACATGTTCCATCCTGCAAGTCTTTGCTCTCATCCCCATGTCACTCGACTTACCTCATGGCATTACCATGTGAGCTGGCATATTCCACCTTGCCCTGAATTGTCTGGCTCTTCGTATTGACTTATCACCAACTGTTTCTAGGATTGTGATAGAATTCATTCTCTCTCTTCTAAATACAAGCTTCTTGAGGTACTCAATATATATATATTAAATAAATAAATGAGCAATAAATGCTAAGAATTCCACTGGTTGTCACATGCAGAGACATGGATAATTATTTATCACTGCCTTTCAGGAATCCTCATTCCAAGGTGAACTGACTGGGACATGTAAATAGAAGCCACGTGCATCACTCTAGAAGAGTTCAGAGCATGCTCCTAACACCAAGGCCAGGGGGTTGGTGAATGCAGTAAAAGTGTCCAAAGGGGAAGATCTGGAGCTGAGTGCTGACGGGGATTGGTAGCTCTCAAGGTGATCAGAGTAAAGGGAAACACTGCACTTAAAAGGAAACAGCACACTTGGTGACCTTGGAGGATGAATAACAGTGAATTTTAGAAATAAGCAACTGTGTTTGGCTCTGGTAATATTTTTCTATGTAGAAAGGGGATATATGGGAGAGGAAGGTAGGAGAGAGAAAATGCCAGGAGTGCCATAGAAAAAATAAATAGATATAGTACTCATGCATGGGTGTGCAACATGGACAGGTGCATAAGAATGTATGGGCTACATGTGTGCATATGCACACACACACACAATACACATGATGGTAGAACTCTCAGTTGCACATATCAGTTCTTGTACTTTTACCATCTATTTTCTATTGCTGGACATTCGAATCCCAATTAAAAAAATTAGCAGTCCACAAAACTGTAAAAACATGAAATGGTAAAAACTCTAACCTCTAAGTATATTTTTTTCTGAAAAAGAAATAAAAGGAAGAGCCCGATTTCCACTTTTTTCACAAAAAGTGTTTGTAGAAATATGTAGATGTCAGAATAAACAGCTGGTGTCAAAGCCTGGTCTTTTTCTAGGAATTTCCTCTCTTTTCTGTATCCCAGGCAAAGGGTTCAATCAATTTACACAAAATGTTCTTTGGCAGAGAGTCCCTTCTGTTCATCACAGGCTGCCAAAAGCCAGCTCTCAAATGGTGGCTGGCTGATTCTTCCTTCACCTGCAAAATCCAGATCAATAAGTGATCTTTAGCAAAAAAAAAAAAAAAAAAAAAAAATTAATCTAAGTGAAAACGGACAAGATAGGTAAATATTAAGCTTGATTACATGGTGTGAATGGAAAGAGGGCAAGTCACACAAAACTCCAACAGGCCTTTTAAAATATAGGATGTATTATAATAATAAAGTAACCTGAGGATATAGTTCAGAGAAGAATGTGGCTGGTTTTCAATGAGACTGCAGTAACCTCTTACTGCAGTATGGCAAGCATCTCTTAATAAAGTAATATTAGAATCTGTCCAGTGAAAATATTTGCGTTACTTGGAACACTGATTAAAACATTTTGTGCGGGATCCAGCACAGGAGTGCCATATACTATGCAAGATCCACTGTGGTACTTGGCAGAAAATAAATCATCGAGCTCTAAAATCTGCTGTGGTTGCTGTCTTCGTTACAGAGACCTTGTGTGAAGCATACAAAAAACATCTATAATGTGTAAAGCACCTGGATGGCTGCACTATTAAACATCAATACAATCTGTGTTCATATCATCTCCATGCTAATCAGATCGATTACTACTGATATACTGCCTTGTCACAGTATCACAATGCTAATCAAACAAATGGAGCTATGGGAAGATGATTCGGTAATATAGGTATTTAATAGCACACTGTAATAAAAGAAAAAAAGACTCAACAGAAAACCCACAAGGTATAGCTGTGTCATGGGCAGGCTGATTCCTTGTCAAGTCCTGGGTGGTGCTGCTGTAATTTTGTCAGGAGCCATTAAAAGGGGGAATATAATACAGTCTGATGCCATAAAATGGACTTGAAAGGGAAATGAGATTACTGCTGCTGCTTAACATGGAAGAGGTAATTAGCTGCACAGGTAATTAGATACAGATTCCTAGAATATCCTGATGGA